CCCCCCCACCGCGGGGCTCCGCTCCGCGCCCCGCCGAAACCTCCCCGGAGCGACCTGCCCGCTGCCCCCAGGTACGGAGGGGTCGCTGGTTTCTGCCACTGACAGCCTGATTTACAGCAAATGCTTTCCCAACACCCTCACAAGCCGCAACAGAACACTGAGGTGCGCCGGCTGGCTGCTCCTTCTCATCCTCTCCCCGTATTAAGGAACGCTTTCTGCGGAAAGTTCAGGTGCAAAGCAAACCATTTTTCTACCTGCAGGTTACTTTGCGTTAAACGACACTTGCCGCCACAATTTAAAAGCCCAGCTCCTTAGCCAAATTTCGTACCACATAGGCAAATAAAACCGAAAACATGAGAGCTGAAATAGAAATCATGCCGAAAACATTAAATCGTTTATGCTGTAAATAAATTCCCTGAACACCTAGTAGGCTATAAATTAAAATGTATAGCTAATACGCTTCTTTGATTTACACTGCCCTTTCGACTAATTAAAAATAACTGTGTCATCCCCTGAAAACAGCCCCCACGCACTCATAGATCTATTGCTCATGTTAAAGGTAAAACGTCCATCAAATATTTTCAGAATTTCCTCTCCCCCAGAAATAAAAAAAAAACAACCAACCAGCCCATACAGACTCAGGAAAAATAAATAGCCTTTATAAACTTGGAATACTGAAGTTTCTTCACAATTTATTACTTCACCTTTTCCTTGAGTTACAGCCCTCTGTGCCTCTCAGAGATCACCCTGGCCAACAGTGGTTGATCTTCTCAGCAATCGCTTCCAAAACTATGTTCTATCCTTAAGAAAAAGAAAAAAAAAAGTGCCGCCCCATTTTTTGTACACAGAGGCAGGACTCTTCTGCAGAAAAGAGACATCCTCCTCAACAACAGTCTGTCCACAAACCTTTTTGTCCTGCTAAATATTTTCTTTCACTTAAAAAAATAAAATAATAAAATACCCCCATTCCTGTAATTGGTGGTTGATGTTTTTCCAGGTCCTTGTTTTGTGTATTTACTTTCCCATTAAGCAGTATGCTAGTGCAAGAGAGTACATGCCAGTTAGGTTAGCAACGTGAAGTTTTAGTTCTCACTGAGAGCAGAAAGCCCAGAAATCTCATTTATCCACACCCTGAGCCCCCCTCGCTTGCCTTCTGGCCTGTAAAATTACCTTGCCTAATTCGGCAAAGCCAGGAATTTAGGCTTAATCATCCACACCTCTTTATCTTTTTTTTTTCCCAGGCAGTCAATTATTTTAGAAGTCAGTCTGTGTCAGCTTAGACGTTGTTTTATTTAAGAGGAGTAAACACTTTTGGTAGAATATGTCCCTGACATGTCTATTGTTAGGAGATATGTTGGAGTGTGTGTGTCTGAAAGTTTGGACCACGTGCATGGTTTTTTTTAGATTAGGAGCGTAGAAGTATATGCCTGGCAAGAAAACCCCACTTTAATTGAGGTAAAAATGTGACCCTAAATTACCTGAATGTTTTATCACATACTGCAATGACTTCTGTTCACTGAATTTCACTGGGGTGACCAGCAACCCTACCAGATCGCTGCAAGCCTTCATTCCCACAAGTAACGTGGCTTATTTTTCTGGGACATTTCTAGTGAACTAAACTAGCAACTTGGAAGAATGTTAATTGCACAAGTGTGGTAGAAGACAAGGTAATTTGCATTAAAAATACCAAATGTATTTTGAGAATGTCTGAGGGAAGGGTGTGTGCCAGGATCTGGGATTTTTACTGGCTTCCTAGTTTGCATGTGCTGCTCATTTCAAGGCTCGGTGGCCTAGGAAGGTACATGGAAGTAGGAATTCGATTTAGACAAATAAGGTGAAACTTCTTAAGTATTCAGGAGAATTTAACTTGGGGAATAGCAATGCAATGTGACAGGGGGACCGTTGCCTTTATTCCTGCCTCTGCTTTAAGACTGCAGATTTTCTGGGTGACCTTGGCAAATCACTCTCCTTCGGGCTCAGTTCTGCATGTGAAAAACAACCAACCAGCCCTTACAGACTCAGGAAAAATAAATAGCCTTTATAAACTTGGAATACTGAAGTTTCTTCACAATTTATTACTTCACCTTTTCCTTGAGTTACAGCCCTCTGTGCCTCTCAGAGATCACCCTGGCCAACAGTGGTTGATCTTCTCAGCAATCGCTTCCAAAACTATGTTCTATCCTTAACAGCCCTTACAGACTCAGGAAAAATAAATAGCCTTTATAAACTTGGAATACTGAAGTTTCTTCACAATTTATTACTTCACCTTTTCCTTGAGTTACAGCCCTCTGTGCCTCTCAGAGATCACCCTGGCCAACAGTGGTTGATCTTCTCAGCAATCGCTTCCAAAACTATGTTCTATCCTTAAGAAAAAGAAAAAAAAAAGAAGTGAAATAAATCAAAAAAGTAATACTTTTCAAAAGAAATCCAGCCCTACAGAGTTTTTATTCTGCCTGCAACAGATGAGGTCTAAATAAAGGGTGTTAAAAGCAGGTGCTTCTCTCCCTTGCTGCTCTTTTTATTATGAAGAACAGAAGCTTCTCCTAATATATATAGTGAGGGAGACCCTTCTCTATCGCTTTTATTGAAAAGACTAAACTTGTGACATCACTAACCACCTTCCTATGGCTGAGTTTGCCTCATCTCTGCCTCAGTGGGCTTGGGGGGGGGGGGGGGGGGGGGGAAA